GGCGGAGCACAATTAGCCGCGATTCGGGAGGCGGCTGTAGACGGCGCTCTGGGCGGGGGTCGCGGGGAACGGGCAGCAGAGGCAGAGGTCGCTGCAGCTCTGCCCGTCCCATCACTCGCTCGCCCGTCTTGAGGTCCACCATTCCCCTCCTCCCTTCCTGGGGTCTCCGGGCCGCGACGAGCATCTGTGGCGCCAAAGGCTCGAGTCTGAATCGGTGCTGCTGGAGGCAGTGGCCTCCGACTTCCGGGTTCTGCCTTCTGCCCCATCTCCATGGCCTCCCCCACGGAGTCTTGGCGCCCTCACCTACCTGTTGGGGGTGCCAGGCCCTCAGCGGTCTCAGGGGCACCTGGATCAGCAGGTCCCATAGTTGCTCAATGGAAAGGGAATCGCCCTTAGTATGCCAACCAGAGGGGTGGTCACCCCCACGCATTCTACCCCAGGAATATTTTTCTTCGGGCCTCTGCCCAGCTCAGGAGGGCATCAGGTCCCTGCTGCACGATCAGCCATGAACCCAGTGCCCGGCACACTCAGCCCCCACAGGGCCAAGTGGCTGGGATGAGAGTCACGGTGGCTGACAAGTAGGAAGGTGCAGGCTGCTGCCCTGACCTGCACAAACCAGGTGACGAGTCTCCACCCCGGCAACAAGCACAGTGAATATGGGGGCCTCTGAGACAGACACCCAGTACCTCTCGGAGAAGGATGGGGTGCCGGCTGGAGCACTGCCCTCTCGGTGCTGGGCCAGGCCCTGCTTCCGACGTTGACCTGTGGACGTGGGCAGGTGGACTTCCAGGCCACTGGGGCTCCTCACAGCTGCTGCTGCTGCTGCCACCTCCTGCCGGACCCTCAGGAGGTCTGGGGGAGGGGGCGACAACAGCAGTGACCCAGAGGGCCCTGGGCTCTCACCTTCCAACCCGCGGCCAGCACAGGGCACTGGCCAAGGACACCAAGGCCAGAACCAGTGAGAGCTCGTCCTCACACTGACCCACAAAGGCCGTAGGGCAAGGGAAACAGAGCATTACAGCAACAGCCTAACCCTAGAGGATGCTGGGGTGGGAGTGGGAGGCACCCACCTGTCCTGGGAGGGGGGCCAGGACAGCATTTGGAAGTGACATGGGGATGTTAGTAACCAAACTGCAGTAGGAGGGATGGGAGGAGGGAGGCGAAAACCCAGCAGGCATGGGAGGGTGGGGGTGCATGAGTGTTGTTATTGACAGTTCCGAGAGCATGGAGACCCAGGCTGCAGGGGCCTGGGAGGGTGCACTGCCCGAGCGCGGGCTGGCTCTCGGAGGGCAGCGTGGTCTCCAACTCAAGACTGAGGCTGCGCAGGCGGCCCCCTCCTAGGTACACGCTGTGCACAGTCCACCCTGCGCCTGATGCACTCGGCTACCCATCCGCATCCCTCCAGCCTGCTCGGGGCCGGGCCTCCGAGCTGACCAGCTCAGCACAGGGCAGAGCAAGTGGGCACCGAGCAGACCAGACCGGTGCAGAGCAGGCTGCCTGGCCCCACGGCCACCTCATACCCATGTGTGTTCACAGCCCTGTGACATCACCATTGAGCTGTTTTGCACTGAATAGTTTCCTTCTTTACCACACCCCACATTGGGGATTCCTGTTGGTGTTGAATTGGTGCCAACA